AAAGGCTAGAATTATGCAACACAAGTTGGAACTGCAAACCATGAAAAAAGGGAGTCTGACTATGAGAGAGTATTTGAACAAAATGAAAACTTGCTTTGATCTTTTAGCTGCAGTTGGTGAAAAGGTCAGTGAATCTGATCAAGTCCTACACCTATTGAGTGGTCTAGGACAAGAATATAACTCCATTATGGTAGCTGTTACCTCTAGGCTGGAACCTTGGACAGTGATTGACCTTCAAGCTTTACTTTTGAGTTATGAATCAAGGCTTGACTTCTTGACTGCCAATGTGAATCAAGTTAACTCTGATGGTTCACAGCCAACTCTAAACATAGCCTCTAAGGAATTAGGGACCTCTGTTCAAGGAAATTTTTCAAGCAATAGAGGCAGAGCTCCTATGTTTAACAATTGGAGGGGCAGAAGTGGAAGAAGAGGCTCTTTTAGAGGAAGAGGTGGAAGATTTCAAGGCAATAGAGTTCAGTGTCAAGTCTGTGGTATCATGGGGCACACTGCTGATAAATGTTGGCATAGGTTTGATCAATCCTTTGTGCCAAACCAGAATCAAACTCACAACAATTTTCAAAATAGAAACAACAGCCAGCCAGCTCTACATATGGCTCAATCTGGTGCAAGCTCCTCAGCAAACTCTGAAGTTGGTCTTGATAGTGGTCTGTGGTATCCAGATTCAGGTGCATCAAACCATGTTACTAATGATTTCTCCAATCTCAGCATTTCAAATGAATATCTTGGTGGTAATAGGCTTCAAATGGGAAATGGTTATGGTGAGTTAATCAGTCACATTGGTACAAGCAATTTGAAATCATCAGTGTCTTCCAAAATCTTTGTTCTCAATAATCTTCTTCATGTACCAAGTGTCACTAAGAACTTATTATCAGTTTCACAGTTTGCAAAGGATAATGGTGTATACTTTGAATTTCATCCTACTGTTTGTTTTGTGAAGGACCCAACAACTCAGGCTGTTCTACTCCAAGGGAAACTCAGTGAAGGCCTGTACCAGTTTAATCTCCATCCTACAAGCAAAGATGATGAGCTAACAAACACCAATGATAGAGTGAACTCTCCTTTTGCATATGCAGTTACTTTTCCAAGAAAGCCCAACTTAGAGTTGTGGCACAAGAGATTAGGGCACACTGCTTATGATGTAGTTGAAAAGGCCTTGAAATCTTGTAATATGACTTATGATTTAATTAAGGAAACCAGTTTATGTTCAATGTGTGCAGTGGCAAAGAGTCATAAACTTCCTTTTGATAATTCTAGCACTGAATATGATCAACCTTTGCAGCTTGTTCATTCAGATTTATGGGGTCCAGCACCACTTAAATCTAGAAATGGATATGTTTATTATGTTTGTTTTATTGATCATTTCAGTAAGTTCACATGGGTTTATTTTATGAAGCAAAAGTCTGAGGTGCATGATATTTTCTTGCATTTTAAAGGCATGGCAGAGAAACAGTTTAATACTTCTCTCAAGATTTTTCAAAGTGATTGGGGAGGAGAGTTCAGAACATTAACCACTTATTTGCAGCAAAATGGTATCATCCATAGAGTGTCTTGTCCACACACACCTGATCAAAATGGTGTGGCAGAAAGAAAGCACAGACACCTCATTGAAATGGGATTATCCCTATTAGCTCAGTCACACTTACCTACAAAGTTTTGGGATGATGCAGTAGCAGCAGCCTGCTACATCATCAATAGAGTTCCAGCCAAGGGTCTTAACTACAAAAGTCCTCTTGAGATGCTGCACAAACACAAGCCAAACTACAATAGCTTGAGGGTGTTTGGTTGTTTATGCTTTCCTCACTTGAGGAGTTTCAATAAGAATAAGCTGGAAATGAGATCACAACCTTCAACTTTCATTGGTTATAGCAACTCTCACAAAGAATACAAAATTCTTCTGCCTAATGGAAAGATAATGGTCTCTAGACATGTTATTTTCAATGAGAATATCTTTCCTTTTATGCAAGCTCCTGGCAACAACAGAAATGTTCAGAATTCTTCACCACCAGTTGGGAGTGCTCCTTTAATTCAAAAGGGCAGAAAAACTCAGATTCAGTCTCAAAGAAGAAGCCAAACTTCTACAGGCAACATTGAGTCTTCTTCTTCTTCTGCCCTAGAGGAAATTCACAGCACAAAAAGTAATAGCACAGCTCCTATATATGTGCATTTGCCTATTTCAGCACCAAACACACCAGTCTCTACAGCACCTTCTCTACCTCAAGAAAACCAGAACAGACATCCCATGGTTACTAGATTAAGAGCTGAAATTTTGAAACCAAGAGCCTTGACTGGGGTTGTTGAAGAAAAGGAACCAAGCAGTCTTCATGAAGCTTTGGAGTCAGAAAAATGGGAAGAGGCTATGAAAAATGAATATGCAGCCTTAATGAAAAATAAGACATGGTTTTGACTTCACCTCCACAAGGCAAAAACATTGTGGGGTGTAGATGGGGTTTCAAGATCAAAAGAGATGCTAATGGCAAGATCAGCAGATACAAGGCAAGGTTGGTAGCTCAAGGTTTTTCTCAATCCAAGGGCTTTGATTTTCAAGAAACTTTCAGTCCAGTTTTTAAGCATACAACCATAAGAGTCTTTCTAACTGTAACAAAAACTTTGAATTGGAAATTAAGGCAGCTTGACATCAACAATGCCTTCCTCAATGGTGAGTTGTCTGAGAGCATTTACATGCAGCAGCCTCCAGGTTTTGAACAAGAATCAGAGACACCTTTGGTTTGCAAGCTTACTAAGTCCATATATGGTTTGAAACAGGCTTCAAGAGCCTGGTTTTTGAAAGTTAACTCCACACTTCAAGACCTTGGTTTCATTTGCTCAAGGGCAGACAATTCATTGTTCTTCAGAATAACCAAAGGTGCTACCATTTATCTTTTAATATATGTGGATGATATTTTAATCACTGGAAATAATGAAGAAGAAGTTAACAAATTCATTAACTTGCTGGGAAAGAGTTTTTCTCTCAAGGACATGGGAGAATTGCACCACTTTCTGGGAATTAAAATTAAGAAAACTGAAGATGGAATTTTTCTCAGTCAGAAACAGTATTCTTATGATCTACTTCATAAGGCCTCAATGAGTGGTGCCAAAGGTATAGCTACTCCTATGGCTGCAGCCACTCAACTTAGCAAATATGAAGGCAAAGAAGGCTGCAATGGAACTCTTTTCAGGAGTATAGTAGGAGGCTTGCAGTATTTGACAATCTCAAGACCAGACTTGGCTTATAGTGTCAACAAGATAAGCCAGTACATGTCAAATCCTTTAGACACTCACTGGAAGGCCATTAAAAGAATCTTGAGATATGTCAGTGGTACTATCAACTTTGGTCTAAATATTTCAAAGGCCAAGAACTTCAACTTAGTTGGCTTTTCAGACTCAGATTGGGGAGCTGATATTGATGATAGGAGATCCACAACTGGCCTTTGTATGTTTTTAGGAGGAAATTTAATTTCTTGGAATTCAAGGAAACAAGCTTCTGTTTCCAAGTCAAGTGCTGAGGCAGAATACAAAAGCCTATCACATGCTTGTGCTGAGGCAATGTGGATCACTTCTTTACTTAAAGAAATGAAGATCGGAGTTTCACAAAGGCCAGTGCTTTGGGTTGACAATCAGAGTGCAATAGCTCTTGCTACAAATCCAGTTTTGCATGCTCGCACCAAACACGTGGAGTTGGATTATCATTTTGTAAGGGAAAAGGTTGCTGCCAAACTCCTTGATGTAAATCACATTCCCAGTTCTGAGCAAGTAGCTGATGTTTTGACAAAACCTCTTGGCATCCAATTCTTTGCAAGGCTGCGTGGCAAACTTAAAGTTTCCTCTTACCCCTTGCTCGAATTGAGGGGGGCTGATGAAAGACATAATCACATAGACATTGACCAAGTCAAGGATAAAGTAGGATAGTTTGTTTTTATGTCCACCTTTGCATGCATGGGGCCATACTATTTTTATTTTGATTTTCTTTGTCTTCTAGCTATGGTAGTTAGGGCTTTGGTCTCACTCTATATATTGTAAGCATTGAAATCTCATTTTAAGTGATAAGACAACTATTCCAGATCTGATGTTCTCCATGTTAGTCGCCATGTACGGCCTTAGCATTTCTCCTTGTGCTGTAACCTGAAATTCTTCAATAAGTGTCGTTGTAGCAGAGATGTTATTTGAGCTTGTATTTTTTAACAAAAAATATAAGGTCCTGCTCGAGTTCGACTCGTTGAAACTCGGATCGATTTACTCGTTTAATAAATCTAAAATCTTAACAAATTTGTTCGTGAATAACTCATTTCGCATAACAATGAGTTGATTTATACATTTTTAGAGGATTAATATATACAACCTCTTCTTTTTCATTTATTCTTTTTGTGTTGGTTATTATGCTACGTTTATTAATATTTTATTCAAACATAATATTATAACGACAAGTATATAAAAGTCTCAATAAATTTTAAAAAGTCCATTACGAAAGTCTTAAAATGTCACTAATGAAAATTCTCTGAAAGTCCCAAAAAGTCCACCAAAGTCACGAAAGTTCTACAAAGTCCACAAAAATCACCAATTTTAAAATGTTTTAAAAAGTCTTTAAGAATCTCAATTGAATATACCCCATTTAAAGAATCTTAACAAAATGAAAATAAAAAAAAGCTTTTGATACATCATATAAAAAAAATATTGAATTGATATGTGCTATAAAAAATATTGAATTGATATATGCCAAAAAAGACGAACAGACGAAATTGACTTCAAAAATAAATATTATTATGCAAAAAATTAAAACCCTTAAAAAATAATTACTAGGCAAAATACCAAAATAAAACTGAAAATAGGAAAAAAAAGTGGACTAAAGTAGCATTTTTTTTTAAAAATAGTTATTTACAATATAACTTTTTTCTAGTAATATAGAGATTATATTACGTAACGAAAAGTAACAAAAAATAACATCTTGTACCTTATGGAGAACAAAAAAAAAAGGTAAAACTTACGGAGCTGCCGGAGCTGGTCGAGCGATGAAGCTTCTTGACTATTGCCTCGTTCATCCTCTTAACTTCTTCTACCTTATTTTCACTGCTAATTTCAACTTTGTCTTCGAATTCTTCAGTGAGGGCCCCCTCGTCGCTCTTCTTCTTCTCCTCCTCATCATTCTTTCCGACGACATCCAACAGTCCACGGTCAGCGGCGGTGGCCGACGGAGCATCCGATATCTCGCTCTCACCGTGGAGGTACTGATGAAGTTCATCGACCATTTTCGAAGGATCGATTTTTCTGAGGACTAATTGTTGTGATAAATTTGGGAGCTTGGGAAAGGTTGGCTTCAAGTGAGTTGTTTTGGGAGAATGTTGGTAGTTAAATATAAGTTTTTTTTTTTTTTTTT